ACAGCTTTTATCTTCTCTGCTTTTATCCGCTCCGCATTATCACTCTCGTTGTCTGGATTCGGCTGCACAGCTTCACGCACTGGTTTTGCAGTATGTTGTGCTGTGTCTGTTGTACTAACCGACGGTTTCACAGAACTGTCCAGTCCAATAGCTTTGAGGGCAGACATGAGTTGAGGATCGAGAAAATCTTCCACTGCTACATCGTCCATTTGTTCTGATTTAGAGGATGATGTTGCATCCTCTAACTGAGCTTCAAGAGTTTTGGCGATTTCCAACTCAGCTTCTGCTTCTTCCATTTTACCTTCCCTCCAAAGCTTCATGGCTTCACGTTTGTGGCTTAGTGACTCTTGCTGCAGCTTAAAACGGTCACGACTAGACATTGCCTTTGGAGCTGAACTCGAAGGATTATTTTCTTTCTCTGGAGCAGGAAGATGCGTTACAGAAACCGTATCATCTCGTCTTAGATTTTCCGGAGAGGGATTCTTGTGTCCAACAATTTTGCTTGTAGCAATGCCTCTTTCGCTTCACTCATTTTCCTTCTTTCTTAAAAGCAAGCAACTAAATGTTGTTGTTGGTCACTCATTTAGTCGTTGGTCACTACTACTAACAAGATTGAATCTTTGCGATTGAAAAACCGAACTTTTTGAAAAACGTTTCCGCTTCTCTTCGAATCACATTCTAACAAAATGGTCTATGAAAACAATGCTCTTAGACAAGTACATAGGCAAGATTACACTCTGGTTTTGTTCTCTGATACACACCTATGTAATCAAAGATTATCACAAAATGGAAATCCTACTCTTGACCGGCGGCGGGTAAATCATCGATCCAGTCTCCGGTTAATCTTGTTGGAGTCGTTCCACTTGTTTCCAGAAGAATCTGCAGTTACCACTGTTTGTCTACTCACACAGCTTCTCCTTCAACCTTTCCAACAAAACAAGTAGTACCGGTCTCTCTAACCGGTTCCGGTCCAACCAAGTCCTGCCAATTCGATGGAGGTTGCCTTAACTCCTCGATTCCGTGAGCAAATTTGCATTGTTCTCCTTTCCGACAAAACCCCGCCCAGAATCTCTTACATATCCTCGTCTTGTAGAATATATTAGCAGTCCCTTTGTTCACAGGGAGAGCACGGTTTAACGATCGAACCATCCAAGGAGGCTGTGATTGCGAATTGTGGCTGTGGCTGTGATTATCATCAACAAGGCTTGGCCTTTTCAATTCTGACTGTGGCTGAGATTCAGATTGGGAATGCAGATCGATTTGTTCATTGTTCATCTGGGTTTGATTCCAACCACCGTAAGGCGGTTGCATGAAGAAACTCGAATCCATAACAGGATCAGTAATGGCGGCGGCAGATTTGGGGAGAAAAGATGATAGTGGGTGGTTAAAGGTCTCGTAAAACCCTACACGAAATGGAGTCCCACACGGATAATTTTAACTTTATCCGAAATATATTCGGGTAGAATTGGATTAATAGATATATAATGTTAGGTTTGTAAAAATTTAAGCTGTTAGATTTAAATAATATTAGTGATTGATGAAAAATAGATCGAGAGAATTTTGGTTTGAAAATTTTATTAGTATAATAAACCATGATTATAAATTTCATGTTATTCATAAATTTTGTAATTATAATATCTAAACTAAGTGATTGATCCGCACCATAGCTGGGTATGAATTTTGTTTATGAAAATAGGTTAATTTATTATTTAACAATTCGATTTTATCATTTATAAAAAGTAAATATTTGTTTTTTTTCATTTTGATGCATGTATTAAATTAATATATGTGAGGTAATATTATCTATATTTTGTCTGTTATCTTGAAAATTAGGATAACTTTTATATTTGTGTTG